TCTAAGATCCCTCATAGATACTCAACTTTGGACTTGTGATTTTTCCTTCCTAAAATTGTTACTTTGCACTCAGAGTTGCTGACTTGCATATTGTTAATTTCAAATCATTCTATTTATCGAATGTTGATCCTGCCTTTCAGAGTATGTACAAACCATCTCTTCGCTTCATGTTAGCCACAGATTTTATCAGTGTAAACTCTGCTTCATTATTCTCATTTCTGAGAATAAAGAAAATTACTGAATCTGGAAGAGCTCGTTATGGGATCTTACTTCAGAAGCTATCTTCTATGGGCTATTCTACCTATCGGTAACTTAGAGTTTTCAACTGGTTTTGCATCCAATTTGAAGTAATTTCATATAGGTTATGTGTCACTACTTTCTTTGTGAGAATGTCACGTGGAAAAGTGTTAAAGCTTTACTAACACTGAGATCTGGGATGTCTATTTCCATACCCATCCCACTCACAAGGCCAGGAAAAGAAAGGTATTACCTATCCTCCATGAATCATTAATGATTACTAATATTTTTATTGGGTTGGGTTTGGGTTTTTTTTGAGAGGGTAGTAAGTATTGTTTGTGTTTCATTTGTAAGTGCTCAGAGATAAATCTAAAACTCGCATAGCTGCACTTTCACGTCTGTCTTTATTTCAGCCAGTGTTTCTTCTACTGTGTTACACTTTTTAATTTTGTTAGCATCTGTCCGCATTTGTGGAGACTAAAACAAAAAAGACTGAGAAAAAGCAAAGTTAGTATTTCAGCCTTCTTTTGTCTCCTCTGCTATTTGCTGATCTTCGCTTTTTAGTTGTAGAGCCGTGTTTTTCTTTATTCTTTTACCTCCAATGTAGAAGCACAACCTCTGCTTATTGACTTTCCTGTTCCTTGGAAATTATAACTAATTTTGCACCTAGGTGACTAGTCCAAGATTTGTCCATAACAAAGTTCAGAATTGAATTTCCAATCTGTTTAGTGACTAGGACCTTAGTCACAATAATATCCATCGTTTGTCCTCTGACAGCCGTGATAACCCAGGACAGACATATGTTTAGGTCCATACATGGGGCATGAAGTTTCTCTAGCATTTCTTTTTTTCTGTTGGTTTTCTTTTTTTTTTTTTTTTTTAAACACCTAACACAAGGATCTTTTAATAGACAATGCACCAAAAATTATTTGCCTAAAACATAAGTGGCTACTTACCCTCAAAAAGGCATCAAGTTCTTCACAATTCATTTTGCCCCCCTTTGTAATAGTCATGTTCTTCGAGTGGCTAGGCTGTTTGCTGTGCAGAAAGAGAGCTCTCCTTATGGCTCCTTTCTGCTTAAGTTTATCCAACAGCAGCTCCACTTGGAAATCTGTCCAATCCAAAGCATTTAGGTTAGGGATATTTCATTCAATTAAACATAGTGCAAATTCCCATCAGAAAGGGAGCTGAATGGTGATTTCAGTTACAATAAAACTGAACTTTTAAAAATTCCAGTTCTTTCATTATAAAATCTCTTACTACATTAGTTCTCAAGATAGTAACCTACAAGCCCTCTTGTTGTCCTAAATTGGACTCTGCTTTTTTTCCTTAGAAACTGGAAACATATAAGAGCACCAATACATTTATAATTTATTGCTGTAGAACTGCAAGAATAAGTTAAATTTTTCCCCAAAAAACTTGTAAAGCAATCTTTCTCTCAATGCTTATTTAACTGTATTGCTAATCTAATTACTTCAAATATTTGATATAGATAATTAATAATTAAAATATGTAACAGCTATTTATGTGCATTTTCCCAGATCATACCACCTCTATACATACATACAGAAAATAAGGAAAAGCTTTTATATCAGTAGACAAAACCTAACTGCAGCAGGCTGTCTGCCACACTACAAAATCTTTTTAAAGACAACTTAAAAACCTGTTTGAAAAAATGTTTTCCTGATTCTGATACAAAGAATCTGATTTTAAAAGTCAGTGATATGAATCAGAAGGCCCTGATTTCAACAGAAGTGTAGGAAGTTCCCTTGTGGCTTCTCTATATTTTTCAGCCCTAACAAGGCACATACTTTAATATTCCTCTCTAAAACTCCCCTCAACAAGAGCTGATCTCAATTCTGTACAACACAAAGGACTTGCCAAGACTAGTTCCACCAACTGGTTAAACATATGCTTGAAGCCCCAAGGATGCTCAAATCCCACTGACTTCAACACAACGTCAGCAAAAAACCTACTGAACACAGTCATATACATGTACATGGTTACTGAACTGGTAGGATTGTACAGTAAAGGGTAGCCAACTGTTTCAATAATGAAAAAAAAACAATGACCAGTGCTCATGTCTGCATATATATATAACGTATTTATATATATCTAAAAAGACTAATGTTTTTAAACTAGCAGAACTTACTGAGTGAATTAGGGAGCTTTCCTTTGCCATCTGCTTTTAAGCAGAACTTGACTTTGAAGCTGTTTTGGAGGAAAAGAAAATATTAATTTCACACACTTACTCTCTCATTTTCTTCTAAAATCCTTTACTGTTTTTTCTCAGTTCAAAATTACTCTCTTTTGAGACTCCAGCTCACTCCGAAAAGCTATTTTGTACTGGTGGGGGAGAAACTATAACCTATTAATAAGTAGATGGCAACGCAAGCAACGCAAAGCTTTGGAGTCTTGGTTATTGTAGAAATAGTCACTGGTGAAGCATCATGTTTATTCCTGAAATCAAATGTGGCTCTCATTTATTTTAAAGCTAGAAGGAACTGATATACTTAGTTGAAAAGGGAAGTTAGCATTAGAAAGGAAAAGCGGCTTTGGGTAATAGTCCAGGAACAAGAACCAAAACCAGTTTGCAGAACAGATCATTTCCCAAGTGTTTTCCATAAGCCTACCTAAATATTAAGTTAATGGCTAAAATCATTGCAAAAGCTGTGTGATCCATTGCCACCTTGGGAAGATCTTACTCTGCTCCACACAGACAACTGGCAATCTCTGCAGGTAGAACGTAACTTAGGAGTCAGTCTAGCATATATTGAAGACAACATTGGTCCCTCCACTGTGGTCAAACAGTTTTTATTTTGTATTGTCTGTTATTACAGAAAAATCTGTATTTTATTGCCTTTTCTTAATTAGCTGACCTGCCTTCCTGAATCCTTTCAAAACTGAAAGCTTAGGAAAATAAAAACCAAAAAATTCCCTCCCCTCAAAGGAACACAACGATACACTGCTTACCAAGAAACTTCTACATCTGACAGTGAACAGGCTTTGTTTTCTGGGTTTAGAATGGTTGGATTAACTTCCAGGGCAGCATTTACTCTAATAACAGGTCTAGCCCTGCAAAGAAAACATCCTTTTGAAGAGCATTCAACACCATGTTAGACAAGACCCTCCCCATTAAAGTGTGAAATATACATATAAACACTTAAGACAATATTCAGTGAAACTGCAAGAATAACAACTAATCATTGAGTAGATTAGGGAAAAGCAGGAAGTTCTTCTATGCCCTTTCATTACCATCAGAGTCAGAACATGGATAAATTGTATCAGAAGTCCTGTCTAGTTCTAGCACAGGCAAATAAGGTATTCTCCCAAAATGAGCAAGTTTGGATGAGAATATTGGGATTGCAGTGTAATAGCTAGCAGTACTCTGTATGTATCAGAATTTAAAAAACTGTCACTCAGAAAGCCTTGAAGACAGATTATTTATATTTTCTCATAACTATAGATGATTGAGAAAGACAAGTAATTGATAGCAGACTGTAGATTTACTCAGTGAAAACAGTAGTATAACCCTTTTTTTCCTCCAGCAGTTTGGAAGGTGGAGTAGCAGAATTTCAAACTGCCCTGATCCTGCTTTCTTTTGTAACTCAAGAACACTGCTAAGCTTTCATTCTGCTTGCACTTACGTAAACGCATAGAGGGATACTTACCTATACAAAACAGCTGTGTCAACACCAAAGGCTCCAACAATCAAGTCTAGAAAGAAAGGAGAAATATCACACATTACAATTTATTTTTTAAAATACACTGTTAGTCAGAGGTATGGCTACTATTAAGTTATTCTAAAGTGACATTTAGAGCAAAGGACCTGGATATCCATTTTCATCCACATCTGTGGCTCCTTTCAGCGCGTACCCAAAACTGGGTGGCATAGTGCGAGCGGCCCACTGCCCTTCAAGAATTTGAGATGGGACTGCGTTCAAACCATTTGCTCTTCCATTGTAGATATAGACAAGTCCTCTCTTGTCCTCTCCACCATATGGTGCAGCAACTGCAATGTCTGTAAACCAAAAGAACAATTGTCAACATATCCAGACACAGACTAGGAGAAGATATTTGTGCTTACATCGGTCAATAATTTCTGATATTACAGTTTCAGTTTGTGTCAGTAGGGAGGAAATGCAGCTGACCTTCAAAATGCTCATCAACAACCTTTTTTTTTTTTAATTGGATGCTGTTTTTTCTAGAAAGTACAAATGTTTAACAAGAACACATATCATAGACTTGTATGGGGAGGGGAGGAGGGAAAGGAATAGTTCTGCAAATGCTTCTGCACTTACAGCCAAATTTTAGGGTTTTGAGATGCTTTTGAGAATATTAAACACACAGAATTAGCTGGTGCCAAATCACAAAACTGGGGCTATCTGCCCATTGCATTAACACACTCATGCTCCCCTCCAAAGGGTGTGACATTTTAATAATTCTGGAAAATTGAAGTCAACCTAAACCAATGGTAAATATCAAATTCCAGTCTGTTCTGATCATGGCTTGGCAATATGTTTTATGATGGACTTTCAGTTAGTGCAATTATGCCATCTCTTAAAGCTCAATAAATTTGAGAGTACTCATTATCAATGACTAATGAACAGTAATAAACAAAATGCTAATTGGACTATCTGTAAGAACAGCTATAGCAGTGTACATATGATCTAAATTCACATTTCAGCAGTCGGTTCAAAGACCAAACATGAAACACTATACAGAATAATTACATTACTCCCTCCTCTTTCCTTAAATTTGAGAAAGTTTCATGAAAAGAACAAGGACTCAACAGTCTCCCATTTGGTATTTTTGACTCATCTTTACAAACTTTACAAAACCAGTAGAAATTCCAATCTTGCACCATACTGTGATGGAAAACATTTTAATTAACTGTCTAGGATTCCTGGAAGTCTTTGCCCCTAAACTATATGATTCTTGTCTGTTTCATTGCTTTCCATTCGTACGTGAAAGTAGCAAAAGGCACTGGCAACAGGTTTGAGAGTCCACAGCTTCAGTTGTATCAGACTCAGACTTCTTATCCAAATATATGCTCAAGACACCCATCTCTTGGTACAGTTGGCTGTAATTGTTATGGGATATTTCCCACCAGACTCTTCCATTTTGAAATAAAAAAAAAAATCTAGACTTTTCTCAGGAAAATTTCTTCTATCAGAACGTTTTTAACCAACTGTCTGAAACAAAACCTTCTTTTCAGTCATCATTGTGTTTCTGGAGAGGAAAATTGACTTTAAGCAATGGAAACAGGAAAATTATATTGAAGATGTCCTAACAAGTCACAGTGGAGAGTCAGATATTTCATCGAAGCTTCTACTGTACTTATCACTTTGAAAGTAATAAACTGATCAGTGTAATAGCTAAAATAATCCATGCTGTAGTTTCAATGGTATAGTCTCTGCTCGATGCATACATGTAACTCCTCTTAGCATTCTTGGGAGTAGCATACAAGCATCGAAAGGAGTCTAGACCTTAGTGTCCAACATTCAGGCATGGTTAGAATGCCTAATGTTTGCGTGCAGAATCCACATTCAGTGTGCTGTCTAGATTCCATCTACGAATGGACAATACTGATCAATAAATGAAGTCCTACCATTGAAGCCATCCTGATCTAGATCTCCCAGAGGTGCAATAGAACTGCTGAATCTTGCAAATATCTCAAAACCATTCAGCTTTGTGATCTGAAACCCTCCAGAGGCTCGTTGAAGGCAAATGGAAACTTGGCCAACCTCTTGAAGTTTCCCATCAGAACCTCGATCCATAAAAAGAGGGGCTCCAATAAACAAATCTGTATAACTGGACCAAAGAAGGATAAGGTTCTTCAGTAACAGCATGAAAATTCAGTTTCATTCTCTTAAGCATCTGTTAGTAGGACTAACTCAGCACTGAACTAAATATTAAGATGAAAGTTACCTATCTTTAAATTGCAACTGAGGGCAAATATTTATTGACAAAGTAAGCACAAATATACCAGAATTTAATGCATTTAAAGCATGTGAATACACACATGAATATTTATGTAAATAAATAAAAACCCAAATATAAATTGTTAAAACAAATGTTGAGTTTTAGTGAGAAAGTGTCTTGTGCAGATACATGTTAAACTAGTAATGAAGACAAAAATCTATATTGTTAGAAAGACTTTTCAATAAAAGCTCCATGTTTTCCTTTCCAGAAGCAAGCTGACTGGCAGTGGGGAGAAGAGGGAACTTACTTGTCCCCATTGATATCTGTGGCAGCCACTGAATACCCAAAATAGGCAGCCATCTGGAAAACAAAATTCAAACCCAACTTGTAAGTTGTAGTGATATAAACACACAAACAAGTTTATACAAAGCTGTATAGAAAAGATGTTAGGGAGATGGTAATGTATCCCCACAACATTTTTCGTCTCCCTTCTCCTTATATTTTCCGTTCTCTTCCTTACTCTGTTAGAAAGTAAACTGTTACCTTCCTCATTCCCCCTTCCATGATCCAGTCCTCCTTCCCAATTCTCAAAATAGGCAGCATTTCCTTCATTTAAACAAGACTGGTTTTCTAAGTAGTAGTACAAAATGGGAACTCACAGAACATGTATTTTTAGGGTTACTACAGGCTATTTTTTCTTTGGCACATAAGCTAATAACATACAGAATATGACATGTTCTAGTATCCTGAATACTGTCTCAACATGTCCTCTTTCTATAGTGATAGCCTCCTGGTCATCGACCACACTGAGTAAAGCTACATACCTGCTCTCCAGTGAAGTTGTACATGGAAGACATGTTTTTCCCATTGTAGATGGACACCTGCACATGAAGAAATACACATTACAGCACACCAACAATATTCATCTTCTTTATTTTTTGTAAAGTTTAATGTTTCAAATTTCCTACCATGCCCAGAGTTCTTGCTGCTCTTGGGACTCCTGATACAAAGTCTGAAATATAAAGCAAGACACCCAGATAACATTCAGGTCCCAAAGCACAATGACTTTGCTTGAACAGAGTAGCTCGTTTATGCATTTTCCTGTGTGCTGTATTGTTTGTTCTATACCATTGATTTGAAAGACCAGCCCAGGCTATTAGCATGATTTTTTTTTACGGAAGCAAGGGTCTTACCTTCTATGCCATCACCACTGAAGTCTCCAACAGCCACTGAATAACCTGATCAACAGACAAAATTAGTAAATCACTTGAAAAACTTTACTAAACCTTTCATCTCTCTACACTCTTCATAGGTGTCTATGCACCGTCCTCTCACTTCACCTTACAGCACAATGGAATAAATATTGCCTCCAAGTAGCTTAGACTGTGAACAGCTACATGAGTAGACTGTACTTCACCAGCATCCTTTAATTTGAGATCAGAAGGTGAAAGTTTTATAAATTATCATCCTGGGAACTTTTCTGGTCTATCCTGGGTTTTTTCCTGAACCCGGTTAAACATATATGAAGCTAAATGATGATTTCCTACTCCTCTAAGAGACTCTCTTCATTATTTTTCTTCCCAAACGTGATTCTTACAGATTATTATTTTGTTTTGGTAGATTATTTAGAAACAGCTGCTTTTCTAAAAAAACAGGTATGTGACTAACTTCTCACATAAAAATTGTACCTCGGCCATTCCCATATTCAGCCTGAATCACAGAGCACAAAAATTCATGGGAATATTTCCAATTATTTTGTCCTCGGGTGCTTTTTGAATCAAGCCTATGGCAAGATAAACTAAGCTTCTGTCATACTGCATTTACAGGTATGTAGCTCTTTAGTTATCTGTCAAATACTGAATTAATAGTAGTGTGACTTCAACTTAAATATAAATAGCACAAGGGAGTTCTTCGAGTACAGCTGCATTTTCTTCTTCAAACTACATACCCAAGTAGCTGTCATCAAAAGCAGCACTGGCAGATCTGGTTGCTAACTGGTCATCATACTTTGTACTGTAGACTCTGGAGTCATATTTAGCCACAATCTCTGTCACTCGATCAGAAATAAGTTGGCCTAAAGGGAAAGAAAACCGCTTAAAACCACAAATAAAATATGTGTGCACTCATTCAATAAGCAACAAGCCTCATTTACAGAATGCTTGCTTCTAAAGCAACGGCTTTTCCACAATACCAACCAGAAAATAGCCAACAGCAGCAGCACCAGAAAGGGTAAGTGAAAATTCAGATCCTACTTCAGCAAGGATTTATGCACTTCCCGAGTCAAAAGCACACCAAGAGTTCTCACTGAAAATGGAAGCTGCTCCTACATGTAAGCCAGGACTTAAATGGGGCTGCTCAGGTAACAGTAAGCATATGCTTATGGTATTGCAGAACTGAGTCATCGTTCCCTGTCTAAGTACCATAACACGAGAACTTGGTGTGGCAGACAAGCCCACAGGATGAGCACACCTCATTACTGCCTTCCTTGCTTTCACCTCACTAGCCACTAGGTGGGGATGTCAGGACATTTTTTTCTTTCCATTTAAACTAAATCTTGAATCACAATTTTTTTTTCAGAAGAGCACTTCACATACATATTCATACATGTACGAAGTATAGGGAAAACTACCCCAGCATCTCAGAATGTGGGATAAAAACTTGGGGTGAAAAATCTAGTTTTTAGAAGTATACTATTGTCTTCTATTCAGAGCTGAGATTCGTTCTTGTTTTTTTTTGTTAGTAGTAGAAGAGGTTTTTTGTTAGTAGTAGAAGAGAACAAGGTTGTTTCAGCAGATGAGATGTCACTTTTGCCAAAAAGCAATAAAATGAATACACAAACATAACCTATATTATAGTGTATCTGCAGTTCAGTTTCAATCCATTTTGTTCAGAATTTAAACATAGGACTGGAAACAAGCCTCCTGCACTGATGCGTCTACATGTAGGCTGGCATGATACAGAAAATCTTTCATAAATATTAGTATTCACATTAAAAAACAAGCAGCAGAGTTTGTCAGTGACGTCCCAATTTCCATCAAACAAGCAGCACCATCTTTTGAACAGAGAGCTACAGCTAAATGCTCAATGATCCTATGCACAAATACAGACTGAAGCCCACATTAGCAAAATACATAGGTATGTTCTGTGTAAAGAGCACAATTAGAAGTTAAATGTGTGCCATGGCACAAACAGATCAATATAAATAAACACAATACATCTTTGCTGCCAAAGGAAAATAATGTTAGTTCTCTTTGCAAGGTACATTTCTCATTGAAAATACATGCTTCATATGTGTGTCAGAAATTACAAAACATGTCGATTTTGAAACAAGCAAAATAACCTAAAGGAAACTTATCCTGCTGGTGGAAACAAATTCCACATTCCTGGGAAAATGCATTTAAAATGATCATAGAGTTATTTAAAAGCCAAAAGGCACATCTAAAAAATTATTACTATTATTACTTCAGCTTTAATCTGTAGTTGCCTTGATTATACAGGAAATATTTTGAAGAATGAAGAAAATTATTTCTGTTAGCTTTCTTACTGACAAAGACTTTTGCAAGTGGTTGGAGGAGTGTGGATACACATGACTAAGAGGATAAAGACAAAAATCAAAGAGGTCAATGTCCCTGTGACTTAAATGATGTATCTCACCTTGCCAGTAAAAACTTCCAGGTCCTCCAAGCAGCACTCTATCTCCCTTGGAGGGGGGAAGGG